CTCTTGCCCTTTCTGGTAAGCAGTTAGTCACCTGAGGAAGTTCACTGGGACTATTCTGGAATCAAATTAATGTCTTTACCAGTACAGGTGAAGGTTTGATGATTTCTTCCTTAAGGGCCTTTGTGTCAAAGGTTTGATGAGTAAATAGAAACAAGCTTAATTAAACAAGCTTTTGTCACGCATTATGCATGAAACTGATAAATTAATGTTCAAGAAACCAGACTTTTTTCCGAAGCTTATGTTCTTTTTGGCCACAAACTTAACTTGTTTAAACAAAAGTACAGCTGGAACAAGGCAGTGAATTTGAATAGTGTGTTGCAAATTGCCTTGCAAACCAAGAATTAAGTAAAAATGAGAATTGCACATGGTTCACCTGCCAGGAGGTCTGCTTTAAAATGTGCTGTTGGTACACTGCTGCTTGCTGCGTAGGGAGGGTATGGCAGGTCCACGTGAATGCAGGAGACAGCAGAAAAGATCCAGCAAGATGCAGAAATGGAGCAAATAGGTGGTGAGTGTTTGTAATGATCAGCTGAATTAAACTGACTATTTTGAATTAGCCATAGGCTAAGAGTCATGCTACTTTAAATTCATTGCAAGGACAAAAGATAAGTGATGTAGGATTGGCATCAAAGCCCTGTATAGGGTAATAATTTTGTTGTGAGAGTCTCTTAATTCTTTTGAGCTGTCATTCTTGCATTTAAGCCCTTGACATAAATGTTTTTACCTTCCTTTTTCTCTGCCATATATAAATAGATACAAATCTTCCTTTTTTTTTTCTCCCCCTCCTAATTCCAGGGAAGCTTCTTGCGCCTTTATTATCCATCATGCGATGCCGCAGATAACGAGGAGGCACGGTGGATCCCAGATAAAGAGTACTATCAGGGACTCTCTGACTTCCTGAACCTGTACCGAGCTGTAGGAGAAAGGCTTTTCCAGTACTACGTTGGTAAGGCTGGCTTTGCTTTAATTCCTTGACTAGTGCAAGGGCATAAGCTCTGCATGCAGATCGCTGCCTCACCGCTCTGTGAGCAGTGTCTGACTGCTGCAGGACTAAAAAACAGTTTTTCCCAAAGAAGTAAGTTTGTTTGGGATGGGTTTGTGTAGTGAGGCTCAGTGCTGGATGTGACCCAGTTCTCAGGCAGACCTGCTGTCCCTCACTGCTATCAACAGGAGTGTCTTGGCCACTTGCTCCAGGAAGTGGTTGGGTGAGCTGCACCTTTGTGTCAGGATTTAAATCCCACAGGGAAGCGTGCAAATAGGCAAAGGTCAGACAGATACTAAGGTCAGAATACCAACGAGACTTGGATGCCTGACTATTCTCAAAAATCTGTTCTTGTAGGGTTTAAAAGATATGTAGGCTTTGTGCCAGGCTATGAATGGAAGGAGGAGAAGGAAAGTATCTACTGCCAAGTAGAATGTATTTTCAGAATCAGATCTGTATTTGTCTTCTGTATTTTAACAATGAGATTTAGTACCTTATCTTCAGATGATGGCTCTGTAATCAGTGGTCACCAGATTTGTGGGATCTCTCCCACGGGAACAAACACTTTCTCTCACTGCAGTAATAATGACATACATTTCAATTTCTATCTAGGTTCAGTGACCTGTCCTGCAAAGTCAAATGCCGCTTTTAAGCCAGGAGAAAAATACCCACTCCTCATTTTTTCCCATGGACTTGGAGCTTTTCGGTAACTCCTCAGTTTGTTGACAAACTGTTTTTTGTCATCTGTGGGGACAGCAGTATCCAAGGATTGTTCTGAACAGATTTTTCGTAGGGGGCTGAGATCCCTGTGGGTTTGAAACAGATTTGAAGAACAGGCTGCTGCGTATCAGGATGCCTCCACTGAAATCAACAGCAGTAAATAAAAGCAGGGTTGTTGCATTTATCTGTGTTTTCCCTTTGTATTCTGGGGGTAAAGCTGTTCACCATAAGCATGTTGTGAAGATTAGCTAGCTGATTTTTGGACAGCTCTCCAAAGATGCAAAGCATCCTATGAAGTGTTAAATGTTTAAAATCATTAGCATTTTCCCTTCTGCAACAGTAGTGAGGTTTTGTGAACAGGATCTTGGTGCCCGGCATACAAAAGCCTGCTCTGCTGGTTGGCAAATTCAAACAGAAGAAACACAGGGTGGGGGCTAGTGCATATGGAATGTGGTTGATATTTAAAGACCAATGTAATTGAAGTAATTATGTGTCTCACCAGAGTGTGGTTTTATTTGTAGGACGATCTATTCCGCTATTTGCATAGAGATGGCTTCCCAGGGCTTCATAGTGGCTGCTGTGGAGCACAGGTGCGTATACTGCGTGTTTTGGAGTTCTGATGGAAAGAAGCTTTCTCACATTGAAAGAATGTTACTTATTCTGAAGAAGAACTTGTGGGGTTTTTTAAAACAAACTAATATACCTTCTTGAGCCCTGGCCACACCTGCTGAGATAAGCCCTTGAATGGAAAGTCCCAGGATAGATACCATTTGTCATTCTTTAGGCATGTTATTTTTCTCTCTCTTATTGTTATAACCCAGAGAATTTAAAGGAGGTGGGAGTTTTGGTGGGGTTATTACAATATTTAGAAAGTCTCTCTACAGTCAGTTGTGACTGCAGCAACAGTGGCTGGTAGCTGGATCTCTTGAGATATGTGAAATCTAAAACTGGCTGATTTCATCCCAAACCAAACTGAGTACATCCCCACACAAATAACCTTTTGTTGATATTACAGAGATGAATCTGCTTCGGCAACATATTATTTAAAAAAAAAGTCCCTTTCCCAACCACAGGAAGAGTCTACATCAAACATGGAGAAGGAGTGGATCTACTACAGGAAACTAAAAATGGGAGAGGAAGAATTCGCCACAAGCAGGTACTCATCCTGGCTCTGTGCTCTCGAAGAGAGGCAGGACTGGTGTGTTTAGGACTAACTGGCAGATTCTTTCCCTGTGGCCATGTCTACAGGCTTCTGCCACAACTCAGGGGATATATAAAAGGGCAGCAAGTCCTTTGTTCCTGAAGAAGCCAAAGCCAACAACAGCTTTCTTCAGCACATAAACTACTTCCTCAACAAGGCTTTCTCTTGAAGTTGCGCTGTCAGGCTTAGTCAGCTGTTTCTCCTCTGGCTCCACTCAGCTTTCTGTTTCTTCACACTTCTGCTGCCCAGCCCAGTCTTTAAGTGACACAGAATTGAACTCAAATGTTTGTGTGGCCTCGGGCTTACTTCAGCTTTTGTTTACTGTTGGATAGCAAGAAGAATCTTTAACAGGGTTTACAGCAATGTAAACAGCGCAGGCTTCCTGATTAGAAGCAGCACCCACACTAGATGGAATATGGCCACGCTGACGAGCTCCTCCAAGCACAGGCTTGACCTTTAAAATATGGGAGTGTTTTCTTCCAGCTAACGCAAACTCAGCCAGGGAGGCATTTATCTCCCTGGGCCACACAGACAGCGGTACAAGCATAATTTCCTGCATGCATACACCATCCTACTTGCGAGTCTAAATATGTAATGTCTGAGCTTGCAGATAACCTCCAAAAGACACTGCCTGCAAATTTCACTAGTAGAGAAGTCAAGAGATAGAGATTTATTTGAAATTCAGTGATGTGCACACATGTTGCTGGCTGCACTGCAGTTCCCAAGGACTTTTTGAATCTTTTTCTTTTTGAAGGTTTTGTTTTACTGACATGTCAATGTCAAAACCCCTTCTTATACTGAACAATGACAACCTTTATTTGCAACAGCTTTACTACAGTTTGCAAGAATGTGCGTATACATCTGTGTATATATATCAAGACAGGCTTCTTGGCTGTTTCTTATTTCAGGTTTATCCAATGTAAAGACCATTTCAAAGCTCTTGAGCAGAAAAGGCAAGTGACATAACGACCTTTTCTCATCAAAGTGAGGATGAGGAGGAGCAGCGAGTCAGCCTTCCTTGTAGTTGTGTAACTTGAGCCTTTGCACATCCCAACAACCCCTTTCTGAGTAGCAACAGGGTGAGGGAGTTGAAGGTTTTTGGCTCATGTTGTAGGGACAAATTCCTCCTCGTGCCAAGGATCTATGCAAAAGCTTCAATGCTCTGAACCTCCAAAAGACAGTTTTGTTGTCAGTCAGACCTTGTCAGAGTTCTGTTTTACGGTTCCATTCTGCAGTTCAAAACAGTCATTAGCATATCAGACACTTGAGGGGGGAAAAAAAATATCAGACTGAGTTTTGTGTCCAAAGGACCAGCAAGCCTGGCAGCTGTCTGATAATTCCTTCCACTGATGTGCCCCAATGTCTGTTTCTCCCCAGGTGCAGCAAAGAGTGCAGGAGTGTATCAAAGCTCTCAACCTCATTCTTAAAATCAATTCAGGAGAGGAAGTGATGAATGTGCTGAGTTCCAACTTTGACTGGAATAGTCTAAAGGTGAGTGAAAGGCAGTGAACACATTTTATTAAATGTCTAATAACACTTTCTGGTTTCTCTCTTCCGTTTCTGAACTTGTTCCTGTAAACTATTCTGAAGATCACGCCATAGATCTATGAATATGTTCTCAAGTCATTCCAAGTTGGATAGATACTAATAGAGCTGAAATGATGTTCTTCCTACTTCAACAGGAACTATTGCCTAAAAAAATATTCCCTTTTGAAAACAAAAACAATTAAAAAAAAGTTTGGGAAAGAAAGTCTCTTACAGCACCTGGATTTTTTTGACAGGATTCTGTTGATACTAGCAGAATAGCTGTGATGGGACACTCTTTTGGTGGTGCTACAGTTATTGAGAGTCTCAGCAAAGAAATAAGATTCAGGTAAGTATGCAAAATGAGGCAAGAGACATTTTACACTTGAAAGGTCTGGAGCAGGAGACCTTCCCTAAAACCCCCCAACTACTAATTAGTTTTTAAAGAAGAGTTTTGGTTAGCGTGTCTTGTTTTCTCCAGCCGTGCTTCCTTCAACTGTGGGGATGTGGTGGAACATCATAGCTGTAGCATATTCTATCATAATGCTGTGGGACTGTGCAGAAGCTCCTGTGCCCAGCTGCACCTGGCAGCAGAGACCAGCAAACGCAATAATGGATCCTCTTCCCCCAGAGTAGAAATCATATGGAAACAAAATGATTCGTTACCCTCTTTACCTCTTTGGTCTATTGAGAGTTTGTCTCTCCCACGTCTCCTGCAAACCAAGGCATGCTGAGAACTTCCATACAAAGCTTTCTGCTTCTGTGACAATATCCAGTTATTTCTGACAGGTGTGGCATTGCCCTCGATGCATGGATGCTTCCAGTCAGCGATGAGATTTACCAAAACAGCGTCCAGCAACCACTGCTTTTTATCAACTCTGAAAAATTCCAGTGGGCTGATAATATCTTAAAGATGAAGAAGCTCAGCTCCAATGATACAAACAAGAAAATGATCACTATCAAGTAAGTATCTGGGATCCATCACTTCTGTGGTCAAAGAGGAATCTTTACTCTCTTGTTGGATCTGTTCAGTTTCATGAAACTGCAGAAGGACAGACACCCGCTACTCCCTCATGGCCCAGGTTTTCACTGCAGGATTAAATCAGACAGCAGGATGATCCCCCGCAGCGGAGGCCGAGACCTCTCTCAAAGCAGTCAGTATCCCTAAGTTTAAAACACCCAGGTCACATTTTGGTCTGGGCCTTGTGCACCATCTCTGTTTGAACCTGGTAATAATCCACCTCATACTCAGAGCAGAGACATAGCTTGGAGTTATTCCCATTGCAATTAATAGTGACTTAAAGTAATCATGTACAAAACTTCCTCCCTTCTGTGGATAGGACAGAATTTAGTGTTTATCTGGCACGCTCAGGATGTTACCCTCTTAGAGCTTCTGCTAAAGAAGAGAGCATAAGATCTGTGACTATCTTTGAAGAAGTCTGTGCAACCCATGGCATCTTTTCGTCAGACAACTGCGTTCTTTCTCATAAGCCTGCTGATCACTCTTCTGTTTGCAGGGGGACAGTACATCAGAGCTTTCCTGACTTTACCTTTGTGAGCGGAGAAATCATTGGAAGATTTTTCAAATTAAAAGGAGAAATAGATCCAAATGAAGCTATTGATATAAGCAATCATGCTTCCTTAGCGTTCCTGCAGAAACATTTGAGTAAGTAGCTGTGTACATTTAAGCATGAAGTTAAACTAATACTTAGTTCCTCTGAAGCTTTTTGTATAACCATTCTGTTTAGAACAAGATCAAAAGTGCGTCAGAAAAGTTTAAGTAAAAAACTGACAGGTTTGTTAGTTACTTTTGTACTCTAAGCAATTTGGAGGAAGAACACTGCAGTTTTATTCCCTCCTTAAAACATCACGCCTCCCCTCCTTTGCCAAGTTGATCCGTCTGTCCCATAATTTCTTTTTAGCTTCATAAAAATAGCTTTACAAAAGACTGACTCAGATCATTACCACTTGGGTTTTCTTTCCCTCATTTTATAGGTCTTAAGAATGATTTCGATAAGTGGGATTCTCTTGTGGATGGCATAGGAGCCAACGTTATTCCTGGTACCAATATTGACTTATCTCCAGCTGAACCTAAATAAGGAGTACAAAGAAGGACTGAAAATGCCACAGACATCAGGACACTAATGCTGGCCAGACAGTGCTTGGACATGTGATAGCATTGGCCACCTACAAAGCTTCTGGGGTACAGAACACACAAAAAAGTAAAATAAATGAGGCATTAGGCTACATCGCAAAAATGCAGAGAGGTTTTAGTTCAAATGAGTTAGTGGGATTCTCTGAAACACTGCAACAGGCCTTCTGCTTTATAGGCGCTTGATGGTAATTTAAACACTTTTTCTCTGCAACCTTGATTCTATATCAGAACCAGAAAGAGATTAAGCTCCAATGAATTCCACTAAAGTTCTGCTTGCCAAGCTTTAAATCAAGCAAGCCTTTTTTGCAGTGTAAGAAGAAAAAATAGTCTTTGTTATTAAACTACTTGGTATTTCATCTGTGCTCTGACAGCAGCTGAGAGTTGGAGCAAGTCTGGAGAGGTGCCAGTGCCAGACTTTAAATTAAAGAGTCACAGTGAAAACTACAGGAAATAGGTTAAGATAACAGCAGAGAAAAGTGTTTGTTCAGACACAGGACTTCTCACCTGAACTTAATCCACTTACATTTAGATCTGTGTTTTAGGCCATACTCAGAGGATGTTTCCATTCCAAAAGCTGCTGAAACGGTCCCTTTTGTTGTAGCCACTGTTAATTCCCCCTTAGGCAAACCTCTGAGCCGCTCCTCTGTTGTTAACCTCGACATTACCACTACAGCAGAGATGTGTCACTTCTACCACTCCCTTTAAAAAGGACTATGTAAGCATTGCTTGATCATCCTGAGGTCTGTCAGGGTTGTAATGCTCTCCAGACACTCATCTTCATCCAGGCTCTAGCACTGCTGTCTGCATCTGGCGGCAGAAGCGGCTGCCTATGTGGCTGGCTAAATGCAGCTCTGATTTTCAGATCAAAACTCTCTGAAGCTGCCCCATGGAAGGGCAGCTTCTAAGTGAAGAAGCCTTGCAAAGGGGGGACTGCTTCTAACTGTAGCCTTTTCATTTCAAAATCAGGTTACAGACAAAACAACTGAAGCAACCAGCACAAGCAAAGTTAACAGTGTAATTATTTATGTAGTCTGTAATATTAACATGAGATTCCAACAACATCTTCTCAGAATTTAATTTAATTATTTCCAGCCTATCAGACATCTTGTCTCTTTTTTGGGAATAAACATGTTTCTCTTAGTGAATATGCATTTGAGATCTACTGTGGTACTCAGTCAATTACCCTGTCAGAGGTCTTGGGTTCCTGAAACACTACAGCAGCATGAAAAATCCACAGCCTCTGAAGAGGAGGGAAGAAGCAGTGCTATATAGAAGCATTAAAAAGGACTGGGAAAAAAAACAAAAACAAAAAAACACCTCCTTTTCTATTTTCCCCTGCATGGGGAGAAGAATAAAAAGTGAGATAAGCTGCAGCTGTTTTAAGAAGTCCTTGCCAGACTGTACACATGCAGGAACAAAACTATTCTACTAGACTGGCTTCACGTTTAGGGGAAAGGCTTCATCTTCCATTAGTGCAGTTATGGCCACATCATAAATACAAATTCAATTTTGTACATGACTGTCATGTTTCAGAGCACTTGCCATAGTGCTCTAGAGAGCCACTTAGGATCAAAACAGAACCAGGAACAGCAGATTGTGCACAGCTACATCTGACTGCAGTAGTAAACTTGGAAGAAAGATACTCAGTATGGACACAGCATTTGGGCTTATGAAAAGGGAAAGAAGTCATTAATAAGACGCTCATAGGTGTATGCCAGCGAAACTTTTATTCCAGTGTCTTGCATTGCTTTATAACGGCACCAAATGCAAGATTCCAAACCAAAACCAACTTATGTTCCCTTACTGGAAAAAAACTCCTCTCCCTCCACCCCCAAAATAAACACCCTCAACTTTTCTGAGAAAAAAACCCCCACACTCAACAATGCAACTTTTCAAAAAGCAAACATCACAAAGCAGTATTGTACAACACAGTAGCCTCTACAGCAACTCACAAGAAATCTTTGTTCAAGAACCACCCACCAGCAGCTAGATACAAGTTGGTGCGCTCACACATGAGCCAAGAGGCAAATTCTTATTTAAGTAAAGCAGGTACAGCTGTGGGAAGCTGACCATAGCAATCTACCAACAGGCACTCCTTGACAGGGAAGTATGTTAGGAACAGGTATTTGCTCAGTTAGGCAGAAGAAACCCTCCATGCTTTGCTTGTATTGTTCCCATGGAAACACACTTCCACAGAAGTGTTTGTGTACCCAGGTACTTGTTAGCTTCACAGGGCAAACGTGTCACTTGGTTTCAGGAATGTTGGAGGAACGTGAGGATCTTCAGCTAAATGTGAACTGCAGCCAGTTTGCTTTTCTACGAGGGATAAAACCAGACCCATCAAGATGTTTCTATGTGTTAGTATCTAAAGTCATAGCTCTACAAGGCTTCAGAGTAAGTGCCATCAACATACTGGACCACATTAAAAGACTACTCTTACAAAAAGTTATCTTGTAAGGATAAGACAGTACAAACAACAGAACTGCCTGAGCAAATGAAGCAAGGAGTGCTCCTAGATTTCAGTTACAAGTTCAAGGCACTCAGTCCTTCAATAGGGTGAGCATAAGCCACTGCAAGGGTTTTTGCATCTTGTGGATCAGGTACCTTCTACTCAAACTGCCTTCCCGGGCAGTGACCCAAGTGGGCAGCAGGATGCAGTTCTGCACCGTGTGGCTGCATGACCTCAGCTCACGTTTTCCCTCCTGTTGCTGAGGGGGTGCATAGACTAAAGCCATGCAAAGCATTCAAGAACACAGAGAGTGGGCAAAAATAATTAACAACCAAAGAGTGGAAAAAACCTAAAATGAAGTGGTAAAAACTGGAAGTATTATCAAAGCCAGAAACAGCAAGATCAAGGATGATCCTGCATTTGAGTGACACAGTCAAGGGAGGATTTGTAGATTCATCAGTTTAACATCAAGATGCTAATTTGAACACTGAAAACAAAATGCTACCTCTGTTTAAGCTTAGTTCAGTCTCCATCAGGCAACAGGAACAAGTTGCCCAGAGAGGTTCTGGAGTCTCTGTCCTTGGATAAATGTCAGATCTGAAAGGAAGGTCTTAAGCAACTTGATTTGGCTGACTCTGCTTTGAGCATCTCCAAAGGTGCCCTTTTGCCAAAATTGCTCTGTTTCCATGGATTATAGAAATGGTATATAATGAGAAAGAACCTGGGCTATTTTCTTTGACACATAAAATAGGTGTTCACCAGGAACACTTCAAAATTTAAGTAACACTGAAAACATGCAGGCACTATTCACAAACTACCCTTGCAACAACTAAGATGTTATTAAGGGTTCAGATTCATAGACCAAGATCTATTAAGGTCCTGAGCCATTCAAATCCCAACCACAATGCTTACTGGAGTCTGCCTACCAGTCACTCACCTCGGAAACGTGAGCAAGAGTGACCGATGGTGACCGATGCTCAAAACTCTACCAAAAAAAAAAAAAAAAATCTCAACTTAGGTGTACCACTCCAGCTTGTCTGAGAGGCTCAATCCACTAGGTTGGATAAATAAATATTAAATTGATTCCTAGTCCGAGTAGCAGCTTTTGTTGCATGTATTTACCCTTAAACTAACAGTACATATGCTGATGCTACTAAGAAAACAATCTTAAGAGTAAATAAGCAAGGTGAAAAATTAAAGTTTTAACTTTCTAAAATATTTTCTAAAATAAAGTATTTTTTAGAAAATTGGAAAGCATCCAAATACCAAGTACCCAACCTCTTTGGGAAGTTTAAGGTAGTCTTACCTTGAAGTAAGGACTCCTCTGGTAAGGACTGCAAGTTTTCTGTTGCAGGAGTTATTGCCTAAACAAAAGGGAATTCTGTTAGCATGCTGGCACTATTGCCAAGATAGTTTTCCATTAAGGTACGTCCTTTAATACTAGACTAACTTTACATCAGCACTGCCGGACTCTTATTTGCCACCATGTTTCACCTCTTATAACTCACTACAGAAGTTTACTGCCCACTTTTTGCTTTGATGCAAGCACTGCATGTTAAGAATAAACTGGAAATTCATTCTGTTATCACTGGCCGACAATCTGAATGCTGGGTTCCAGGTGTGAATTTTTTCATTTCTTAGTACTTCATGAAGAACACTGGTGAAAATCTTATTTCCCAACTGCTTTGTAACAGAGGTATTATTCATGATTTATCAGTTAGTTGCATGCTCTACTAGCATCATCTATCAAAAGTCTGTATATCAGCGTTGTTCTGCAGTGCTTGATTAACAGTAAAGTTCCAGTAATGTTTCTTCCTTCAAACTGTTTTCATTAATCTATTCCCAGACTGAATTCACAGCGCTCAGGCCAAATAGCTGGCAGCTTATATAAGTCTAGATAAATAGCTTAAAAAACCTCTATGATTTCTATACATAAGTTCTATAATTTCTATAGTCTCCATGGAGATCTATTAGAGAAAGAAGGACAATATGTCTTAAAAATATTGTGCTTCCAGCAGTTGGCAGGAGAGCAGAGATTTAGAATAACACTACTTGGTGAGACACTGGAACAGGCTGGTGAGACCCTGGCACAGGTTGCCCAGAGAGGGGGTGGAAGCCTCATCCCTGGAAGTTTTTAAGACCCAGCTGGATAAGGCTCTGGGCAGCCTGATCTAGTGGGGGATGTCCCTGCCCATGGCAGGGGGGTTGGAACTAGATGATCTTTAAGGTCCCTTCCAACCCTGACAATTCTGCAATTCTGTGATTCTATTCTATACTTTGCTGTTCTGTTCTCATGGTGACACAAGAAGTATCACAACTAAGCTCAGAGCAGCCTTTTTAAAACTCAGCACTGTCCTGCCCAGCCCAATCCCACACCACCATACCTCAGGTGACCTGCAATGAATGCCATTCCAAACGTTCTCAGGATCCACAATCTCCTCACTGCCACTGGAGAGATTCAAGACCTGTACGGACATGAGCCAAATAGCATCTAGCACAGCAGGGGATCCTACGAGTACACTGAGCAAGTAAGACACAGTGGTAGGAAAACATAATAGAGGCTTCCCTTTGTCCTCTAGGATGAAGGCTAGAGGAAAGCCTTTGAGAAGGTTTTCAGCCTGTATCTTGCAAGGAAGAGTAAGTTAACCTCTGATAAAGCTGAATATTACTACTGATTCTGCTCAAGGCTCTCCCAGGCTGCTAACCTAAGTATGGTGAGAGAGGAAGGCTGGAAAACATCTCTTAGAACAGAACAAGTAGGAAACTGAGGAACAGAGATTCCACTACATACCTGACACCCGTATGAATACAGACACCTAAAGCTGAACTCAGCTAAGCAATCTACCAGCAAAAGAACCGGCTTGCATGATCTCAGGCATTCAATCTTCCAAAAAAAGTTACTTTTAGGAAACCATCTTTAGAATTTGAAATCTCGAGCTACAACTTAAAGGCCCTTTTATGTAAGCATAACGTCTGTGCATAGGTGTACATTAACACTCCCTCTGAACTAGAGGAAGACTTATCATTCATCCCACAGCTTAAACAGCAGTAGAACAAGCCAGCTCATTAGACTGTGACTGTTAAAGTTACGTCCCACCAACCACTAATTCAATATACATTTCACTGAAGTGGGAATAGTTATGAATTCATTATGGTATAATTTAAGTTTCTTCCCAAGTTTCTACTGTTCTACCACCAAATCTTAAAACAAAACAAAAACAAAACACCAAACTGTAAAATAAAGCCAAGTTTCATGAGCATTCAATGCTAACACAGCTCCACAGGAGAACATTAACTTGCAGACAATATAGAACCACACATAGGAGTTTGTATCTCAACCCAAATCCAGATCCTTCAGCCTTCACAATCAATGCAGGGGAGCAAGATATGAAGGGAGTATCAAGTGTTGACATACAGCATCTACTCAGAATGAGACAGGGCTGTTTCCTGTAAGGAAACACGGCTGGGTAGCCTGCAAGACCAGAATTAGCGTTTGCAATATCAAGTCTTAAATTTCGTAATAGGCTTCTGTAAAATATTCACAGGTTGGAGGAAGACCAAAGAGCCAGATCTTAAGAATACAGAAGTATTCAAACCATACTTACCCTGGTACCTTTTTCAGATATCTCCAAAATACGAGCCTCGCACCATTTCAGAGAGGTCCACACCACACATTTGGAACCAATGGCAAAGCCCTTCAGATTACATGTATACTCATGGTGTTCTACAAAAATGATGACACATCAATGAACGAGGAAGAAAGGAAAACACAAACACAACCCCTCCGAGAACTCCAACGCCTCACAACCCTGCTCTTATATTCCTCTGCCTCCTCCAAACTACTTTTCCTTAATAGACATTTGAAAGTAAAAAGCATCCTCCTGAACGGTCTTGAAAGTGCATTTCATGTCCAGAAACAAATCCCCAATCATAAAATCAATAACCTCTCAAAGGAAGATTAGTTGCTGTTACACTGTTACATTATCCATGAGGTACTACACTTAATCTGATCTCAGCCCACCAAACCTTAGTGAAGTTAACACTAATCAACTTATTAGGGAACAAAAACTAGGTTTCTATAAGAAAGCTATTTGAATGTGCACATTTTGTTTATCTAATTACTTAAAACCAGACACTTTACCTGCACTGCAGCCAGCCAAGTTCTCATTTTGCTTTTTTTCTACTTCTTCATCCCCAGGCTTACAGTCTGAAGACCACACATGCTTATTTCCACATTCTTTTAATGAGTCAGTCAAGTCTTGTTTCATCCATTCTTCCACATAACAGTCATCTCTCTTCTTCTGCCACTCCTTATGTTTCTCAACTTTGCGGTCACGTGATTTTGCAGTGCAAACAGGCCTCCGATTCGTTAAGTCTTTTGTAACAAATGGAAACTGGCTTCCACTATTTGCAGAGCTTTGCAGTGCAGTGTCTTCCAACCCTAACAAGTCTTCCTCCCTGTCTTCCTGAGATGGCTGCACATCAGGTATCACAAGGTCCAGAAGCTGCTCAATTTCAGCACCTAGCATTGACAGCACGTCATGGGTCTTCAGGTCCAGTTGTGTATCAGGTCCGTCACCAGACGAAGACAGGCTTAGGCGAGGAGGCTCTACGCCTGTCCACTCTTGTATAGCTCCTGCTTTACGAATTCCAGACAAATCCAATTCCAATTTCTTTGCATTGTCTTCCAAAGCAAGCTGAACATCAGACAGAATAGGCTCTACTGTCTTCTCTCCATCACTGACTGAAGGCACCAAGGACTCTCTCTCATTAAGCGATGGTAAGATTTCAAGACATTTCAGAGTTGCCATCTGCCCCATCTCCTCATTCTCAACTGGCAGCTCAAACAGTTCCCATTCCAACACTTTCTCTCTTGCTTCGCTGCCTGAAGCTGTCTGCGTTTCAAGTGACTTTGCTTCCAGAGCTTCCTTTGCTTCTTCACAGGAGGACTGCACTGGAAGCACCTCTAGCTCCAGTATGACCTCTTTTAGATGATCAAAAAAAGAGGGCATTTGTAATTGATCCAGTTCTACTAACGATGTCATTTCATCACTTGAAGGCAACTGTGCCTGGAGCTTTGGCCATCTTGGTACTTGTTCATTTCCTGGGAAAAAATTGGCTGCTGAAGCATGGCCTGTCAGTTCTTCTTTCAGCTCAGCATCCTCTTCAAGCAGTACTTCAGATAATTCTTGTTCTGCAGCTTTCATTGTACTCTCCAAAACATGAAGACTGCAGCTTCTTGTTGTTTCTAGTAATACACGGCTGTCGTGCTCTCCTTCAGATAAAGGTGTCTCTTTATCAAAGTTGCTTTGATGCTCAGCTGTTTCACACCCATCGTCAGCCTTCCCAGACACATACTCAACAGCTCCCACCGACACATTTGCTTCTACAGTATTTAAACACTCAGAAGTTACTTCTAGGAAAGGCTCAGAACAAAACAAAGCACTTTCAGTTTCTTCTTCAGCTAACCCACAAGCAGCAGTAGTTTCTCTTTTAAGACCAAGGTCTGTATCACTGTTGGAGCATTTCTTTTCCTTTAAGGGGTCCTCAAGGTTTGAGAAAGCATTGTCACCAGCTCCTTTATTAGCCTTCCAGAAAGGCTTCATCACTTCGTTAATACTCTTGCCAGAAGCTTCCAGCTTGACAACAGACAGAGGGACTTCTGAAACTTTCTCTTGCCGAGTTTCTGTTACTTCAGCTTCTAACAAGATGTCTTTGGTGATATCGCAAAACTTCTCTTTTGCTTCACTAAGCCATGAGCCCTCTGAGGGATCAAAACCTGACAGAGAGCAAGCAAATGCTTGATTAGGTACCTGGAGCAACTCACATGGAATCTGTTTGACCATTGCCATGCTAACAGCTTCCTCACTTCCATAATCCATGTGTTGAACAACTACATCATCACCTTTTAGGCTGATGACTTTAGCTCTGTAGAACTTCCCATCTTGACTGTATTTTGCTAGAAAAATATCACCACTTTTAATACAAGATTCCAAATCATTCAAAGAGTTTAGTCCAAGGTTTTCAGCTTCCTCTATTTTTTTCTCTATGTAGTTGATGTCTACTGTATCAGCACTGCAACTCCAAAAGTATTCCGGACCATTTACCACCGTGACATAAATTTTTACAGTCTGACCTGGCTCTGGAAACTTCCAGGTAAATGACTTACAATCACTTACACCGGAAATTTCATTTTGTGCCTGAGGAGGCAAAGGTTCACACACAGTAACCACGTCTCCGTTCTCTCTTTCATCAAGTATTTCTGTTGAACAAGATCTTTCCTTATTTGCAAGATTTTCATCAGCTAAATCCACTGTTATTATACCTTTATGGTCACTGAGAATAACTTCCCATTTATTGTCAATCTTCTCTACAAATTCACACGTTAATAGAACTTCACTTGTTCTCTTGATGAAGTCAAGCACTGCTTTCTCTGTCCAGCCTGTATTTTTTTTGCATTTAAGTCCACCTAGGAAGCAGTGAATGCTCATTCCTGGAATAGATGACAAGTCTTCAGGGAGTCTGTGTGCCTGATCAACATTAATTACTGAACTATTACCATAATCAATGTATTGTATACTTATCAAATTATCAGAAGTCTTCTCCCTTACTAAGGCTCGATACCGCAGGCTGTCTTCTGAATAAACAGCACTGATTAAGTCTCCCACTTGGAAAAGCTGTCCACAAGGGCTCGTTGCTTGTGTCCCATTGTTTAAGCTTTCTGAAATGCTGTTAAGCTGAGCCTCGTCACTTTCTAGCTGAACATAAAAATCCAGTGGATTATTTACATAAGACACATACACTGACACTTTAAGTGCTGGCACTATCTTCTGTTGCAGTGGATCAGATACATTTTTAACCATTATACACTTGCCCTGGGCAGCAGATTTAATATCCGTCTGCGCATCCGTCTGTGCATCCATCTGCGCATCCATCTGCACGGAGAGCAGAGACTTCTCAGCTTTATTTAACAGAAAAGAATCCTTCTTACTCCTAGGCGTTTTGTCAGATTCTAATCTAGCTGCCTGATCTCCCGTTACAGAAGTCTGGAAAAGCTTTACATCTTCTTTGAAGCACCTTTTGCTACTCCTCATTCCTCCCTGGGCTTCAGATCTGCATTTTTTTCTTTCAAGAGGCTTACCTGCATTTGAACAGGTCTCTGCAGTCTCACGCCTCTCATTCACATCTGTATTTCCAGAGCACAAAGCTTCATTTTCTCCAGGCACGGACAGTCCCGTACCACTTATTAAGCACATCTCTTCCTTCAGTTTTGCATTAATTTGAGTATTACCATCAAACAACTCAATCATCAGTTTACCATCTGATTCCTTTCCTACTACTGTAGCTTTTAATTGCCTTTCAAGGACAGCTTGCTTAAACCATGCTGTAGCTTCTTTGGGACCACAAGTTATATCAGATAAGGAACATTTTATGGCTTGCATTGGCAAAAGCAAAATATCATAAGCATCACTTGGTAAAGGAAGCAGATTATCTTTCTCTGTTGTCTCTGTGTTCCCATAATCCACAAAGAAGACTTCCACATTCGGTTTTGTTTTCGTAACTACTCCCCTGTACCAACGATTGTCAGTATACTTTGCTAGACACAAGGTGCCAGACTCTGGCGAGGTTTTAAAGCTGGTCATTGTTTCACTTAGGCGGCTGATGTTATCAGTAAGCTTTGCTAAGACATCTGTACATCTTTCAAGTTGGCAGTAAAATGTCCACGGATCCTCGACATGCGTAATATAAACTTTTTCTTCGCTTCCAATTTTGATACCATGCATAGAATAATAGTAAGAACAAAGCTGAACCACGGATACAAGAGGCTCTTGTGAAGATAAAGGCCTGGCCACACCTCTCTCAGTCAGAAACTGGCAAGCACTCTGAAAAGGTGTCATCAAATCCACAATGTTAAACAGCTCCTTGTTGTTTATTGAAGCCAAGGCAAATATTGTGCACTTCAGTTCCAAGTGAGGTGACGAAGTATTAACAAACTCCTCAAAGGCCTGAACTGCTTCTTCATCCCAAACAAAAGGATCTTGACCATTTGGTTGAATTAAGTTGTAAAGGCTGCACCTGAAAGCCTGAGCCTCTAACTTAAGAAAGTGCTTATTAGTTGAGCGGAGGTTTGTTAGAGACACCAGCTCTCTGTTGCCATAGTCAACATAGACAACTTCTACTTTTTTTGCAGAAGGAACTTCACGAATAACTAAAGCCCTGTACCATTTTTCATCCTCTGAGTACTGGGCTAAACATACAGAATTTGGCCAAGCAGGTGGGTGGGATGAATTTTTGCAATACTCCTGAATTTCAGCCATTAACACCTTAAAGTCATGGCAATTTCTATTTAACTGACACCAAAAATTACTAGGATTTTCAACATACGAGACAACTACATTGACTGTATTTCCCACTGCTAACTGACCTCTATAACGAGATTTTGGCTCCATTTCCACATAATTCTGTCCCAAAGACACAGGCAGGTCTTCCTTGCCTTCACACTTCTGAGCAGGAAGAGATTTGCTACTTTCAGAACTGTGAATGGCTGCAACAGGGCACTCTCTGACCACCACAGCTGCAGAAGGATTAAGTCCTCCATCACTTCTCTTCAGGTCAGATTCCTCTTTGAGCCTGTTCTCTGCCTTAATCTCACTTTCCTCCTCAGCAGGTGCCGGGGAAGAGGCTTGGCTCAGAGCCTCATCACATGGGTTCTGGACAGCCTTAGGTATTTCATACTTCTGGTATTCAGCAAACCCTCCCTGGGCCATGAGTTTACTTACATTCTTCTCTCCTGATTGGGACTGGTCAAAAATTTCAACCATGTATTTGTCACCCTGCAGACTCAAAAAATGAACCTTAAGTGACTTGTTGAGTACAATCTCCCTGAAGGCAGACACAGATGATTCACTCCAGCTCCCTCTGGGAGGAGAGACACCTGCTAAACAACACTTCAGAGCTAAAGCAGGTACTTCCCCGAACCGAGGGAGCAGCTCCTTTACCGCACGCCGATCTACAGTTTCCATATTGCCTCTGTCCACCAGGTGTACTTCTACTCCACTGTCCAGTACGCTGGTGACCACCGCTCGACAAAACGCACCCTCTTTCTCACTGACACAACAAAGTGATCCAGGCTGTGGGTCCCACCCAGCACCACCCAGATTTGTGACATGGGAGTAAAAATTCCACATGCTCTGCCTCAGCTGCCTGAAGAGCTGGCGATGCTCATAGAGCTGCAGCCAAAACTCAGACGGATCTCGGAGATGGGAGACCTGCACGTTGTGGAACGCACCCAACTTCAGACGCACATCAACTACAGGAGCAGAGGCCAGATCTCTGTGCATTAAAGCAACAGGACATGCTCCTGCTGGCAATGCCAATTTTTCAGCTGTGGATTCTTCTACTTCCTCCAGCTCCCAAGCCGCAGTTTGGCTCACCAGGGAGCAAGCCCGCAACCCAAAAAGATGGTTCAAGTTGATGCCATTTTCCCCATAGAGGCTCACATAATACTGATGCTCAAAGGCGTTAAAGGCTTTGATGCAAGCACTCACTCCTTTGCCTAGCACCAATGCTTTTAGCTCATCGATCTGCAACGGTGACCAGCCACAACCACCATCTGAGACACCCTGGAGAGCACACGCGTAAGTCACCACCGGCAGGCGAAAACACTCAACAGGCAAACGGCGCAGGTTAGCTCTGGTCACGGGCTCCTTCCTGCCATAGTCCACAAAGATCACTAGAGCCACTTGCTGGTCCTGCTCCCCAGCAGTAAGCTCCAGCAGGAGTGCACGGCACCACCGGCCATCTATGCCACGGGCAGCACAGGGCGAGCCCACTGTGGGTAATATATCCTCCTCCCACCAGTCATAACTGTGGTGCATAGTATCAGAAAGGCAATGGATCTCCTGGGACAGGCTCTGCAACTGGCAGTAGATGTGGTGTGGATCAGAGACATGGGTCACTACGACACACTCTGTCGCGCCCAACTGAAGCCGCGGGTAGAAGTAATCCAAGGCTGGCAACACAGGCTGATAGAAGAGCAGAGCATGGAGAAACTGTGGCACTGAAGAAGTCACAAGAGAACACGTTTGCAGTCTCGGCTGACTCCTTAAGTGGCCATAAGTTAGGCAGCGCCTGAGCACCTGGCAGAACCAACTGGGAGTGACCTTCTTAGCCAGTCCCAGGTGATGCATCTGGGCCACGAGCTGGGGCAACTCAAGCAGCATAAGCTGTGGTGTCATCACCTCCTGCACCACGCCAGACACCTCCTTGCCCTGCAGGCAGACAAGGAACTCCATAGCCTCCACTGTCCAGGTAGGGACTGGTGCATTGTCATAGGCTGCCACCCTGGGACCTCCAGAGGGCATGACATCAGCCACAATACAGCCCAGCACCTCCGGAGGCACGTCGAAAAATTCCTTGGAACCCCTTGACAGGTAATAGGCAGATGTAACCACTGTGCAGCCCTCGTCAATCAGGAACACGCGGTAGTTTTTACCATGGCGACTCACCACGCAGCAGCGGTACCAGAGCCCGACCACCTCCACCAGGCCCAAGTCTCCAGTGCACAGCTCAGCCCCACCGGTCACCATCCCACCGGGAGCAGCTGGGGAGGCCGCCAAGCGCGGGCCCACCGCCGCCTGGATCTCCTGACGGAGGCTGACATAGTCGGCGCTGCGCTCGCCCAGCAGCCCCCACAGCCGCAC